CCTGGCAGCGGGTGTCGCCGAGCCCCCGCTGCCCACCGCGGTCCTGGCCATCCTGGCCCGAAATGCCGAGCACTCACTGCCCCACTACCTGGGTGCCCTGGAGCGGCTGGACTACCCCCGGGCCAGGCTGGCCCTCTGGTGAGAAACCCGGGCGTTGGCACCCACTGGGCACGGAGCCTCTCGGCTCCACACACAGCCCCTGCCCCTTAGGGCCGATCCATGCGCTACCAGACACCACTGGCAGGCCCCTCCCCTGGGGGGTGGCCTCCCTATAGTTGAGACCCCAGGGGGTCTCCTACCCTCTGGTCAGCTGCAGACTGGCCTTAGGAGCCTTCCACTGACCCGAGACATCCACCCTCCTTCCAGTCCCTGCGCCTCCTCTTGGGGCCCCCTCTGGGTGTACCCTGGTGCAACTCCGCTTGCCCTAACCCTCAGAACCCAAACTCAACCCTCACTTGCAGTGGTTCCTGGGGTCCTACGTGGCAGGACTGGGGGTTCCTGAGAGCCAGTGGGGGAGCTGTCAGCTCCGCACTTCATGCTGCTTTGCAGGGGAGTCAGACCCGCTCCCCGGCCTGCTGGGCTGGGTCCTCACAGCCAAGGGCTTTGCCTCCTCCCTAGATTGCCCCCCCCACGTACCCCTCCCCCCAGGGCCGTAGGGTCCCAGGCCACAGTCCCTGGCAGGCTGAACAGGGTGGAGTCTGGAGCTGAGGTTGGGGCTAAACTGAGAGAAATGACAACCTACCCCTCACCACACCCCACAGTTGGGCTGGGGTGGAGCTTTGGTCTGAGAGGGCCGCCCACCATTACAGCAGTTTGGGAGGGAGTTCTTCCCACCCCTGGAGGACTTGACACGTAGTTTGTGGGGACTTGGCTTAAAGGGGCAGAATCACGTAAAACCTGGGTTCTTGGCTAAGGCGCCCAGCCCTCTCCCCCAGCCCGCCCGGGAGCCTGTCCCACAGGAGAGGCGAGCGGCTGCTCTGGGCCAGCTGGCAGTCAGCACCTCCCAGGTCACCTGAGTGCGGCCTGGTCCTCATGACGGTGGAGGGACAGACCAGGTCTTCTGTCTAATCCTGCCTCAGAGGGGAGGGGCTGGCCTGTGGTCGCACAGCCAGGAATGCAGGTAACCAAGGAACACAGCAGGTGTATTTGGCAAAGGTGAGGTGCTTTTCACCTTTCAACTTGCGATCTCCTGCTGCCTCAGCCCATGAGCTCGGCAGGACAGGGGAGAATGTGATGCCCAGAGATGGACAGGGTCTTGCCCGTGGTCACTCAGCAGGTCACGGAAGCGGGAGCAGGACCTGCCTGTCTGCCAGCCTACAGCCTTCCTCTGGAGCTTACCTACCTCCAGTGCCCCGGAGAGGCCAGCCTCAGGTGCAGGTGCCCTGGGGGGCAAGGCCGCCCCGGGGCTCGGTCCTGCCGTGGCCAGGCCCCTCACCTGTCTCCTTCCTGTGTCCCAGGTGTGCCACGGACCACAATGTGGACAACACAACAGAGATGCTGCAGGAGTGGCTGGCCGCCGTGGGCCAGGACTACGCAGCCGTGGTCTGGAGGCCCGATGGGGAGCCCAGGTGGTGATCTGAGGAGACAGGTCCTGGGGAGGATGGGCAGTCCCCAGGGGACGGCGTGGAGCCTCAGCCTCTGGACCCACCGCCCTGCAGAAGGAAAGGCACTGACCAGGGTATCACCCCACATTTTTACCCCTCAGGCCCTACCCTGATGAAGATGGTCCCAAGCACTGGACCAAAGAAAGGCACCAGTTTCTGATGGAGTTGAAGCAGGAAGCCCTGACCTTTGCCAGGGCCTGGGGTGCTGACTATATCCTGGTAAGAAAGCCTGGCCTGGGACTTAGCTTCTCACAGGGTGGTACCTGTCCCTGACCAGGGTTGGTGTGACTGAACCAGCCGGCGCCTGGATCCTTCCGCCAGCGGTGTGGGTCAGAGCGCAGACCAGCCATAGAGCTTAGATCTCTGTGCTTAAGCTCAGACTAGGTACTAAGCCTGGCTCCCTGTGCTAGACCCCAGGGTGTAGACTGAGCCCAGATCCCTAGGCTGTATCCCAGACTATAAACTGAACCTGCTTCCCCAGAGTAGAGCTCAGAGTAGGCTACTCCTCCTCCTTCACACTCTGACACTCAGGTGATGGTTTTTTTTTATTTTTTAAGATTTATGTATTTATGCACACAAGAACCTGGGGTACAGGCCAGAGGTGTAGGGGTGAGGGGATTCCCCAGGGACAGAGTGGGGAGCAGAACAGGCAGATGGACGAAGCACACTGCTGAGGGGAGCAGCGGGAGACAGGAGAGGTCTGCTGCGCCCTGGGGGTCCCTCCCTGGCGGGGATCAAACTCATGCTGCAGTGGCTGCAGATAGCTTCGTAGTGCTGCGCTTCAACCCACCGCGCGCCAGGGTGGGCCCCGGCGGTGCTTCTAGATCAGCAGCTCCGGCCCAGTTCTGGGTCCAGCCCCGGAGCCCGTGCCCCAGGTGAGATCTTTGGTGCAGAAACAGCTCCCGGTTTATAGGCCTCTCAAAGGGAACTCTGTCAGATGGTGGGTGCCACCCTGGTCTCCGGGGGGCTGTAGCCCAGAGAAGGCTGGGCCAGTGACGCCCCTTCCCCAAGTTTGCAGATACAGACAACATTCTGACGAACAACCAGACGCTGCGGCTCCTGATCGAGCAGGGCCTGCCCGTGGTGGCCCCCATGCTGGACTCCCAGACCTACTACTCCAACTTCTGGTGCGGGATCACCCCCCAGGTGAGGCGGGGCTGGGCCTCGGGAAGCTTGAGGCCCCTGGAAAGGGACACAGTGAGCCTGATTCCTGAGGAGCTATGGGCTCTGGCAGGGGGATGATGTTCTGGGGCGGAGGGAGCGCTCACAGCCCAGAGCACCCCTTCTCCCCAGGGCTACTACCGCCGCACATCCGAGTACTTCCCCACCAAGAACCGCCAGCGCCGGGGCTGCTTCCGGGTCCCCATGGTCCACTCCACCTTCCTGGTGTCCCTGCGGGCCGAGGGGGCAGCTCAGCTCGCCTTCTACCCCCCTCACCCCAACTACACATGGCCCTTCGACGACATCATCGTCTTCGCATACGCCTGTCAGGCTGCAGGTGAGGACCGCTCCGTTGAGCCTTCCCGGGAGAGCCCTGTGCCTTTGCACATGCTGTTCCCTCTGCTTGGAAGGCCCTTCCCTGCGCTGCAGCTCCACCTGTTCACTCCTGCTTGTCCCTTGGGTCATAGCTCTCCTCGAGCCCACAGCTCCTGCAGGTGAGATCCCTTGGCTCTCCCCATCATGGCACGTTCAGATGGCAGGTGATGGAGCACCTGTATCGGGTGCAGGGCTGGACAGTGAGGGAAAGCAGGCCGTCCCTGTCCTCTGGAGCCTCCAGTCCGGGGTCCATCAGCGGCGGTGACGGGAAGGAGAGCGTGGGATCCAGGAGTTCCTGAAGCTTAGACTGGTGTGGACCTGGTGAGGGAAGGCTACCTGGAGGATGTGAACTTTGGCGCATTAACAAGGCAGGACAACATTTCGGCCAACAGGACCAGGAGGTGCAAAGAGCCTGTGGTAGCAGGAAACCAGGAAGGCAGGTGGATCAAGCATACTGTCCACAAGGGGCTGGTTAGGGGCCTCGGCAAAGGCCCGGGCAGGAAAGGGAGGCAGGGGCCAGCCTCCGTGGACCCGTTTAGCAAGGCCGTGAGCCTGAGAACAGCCATCAGAGGATCCTGCCAACGAATTTGCACACTGAAAGGAGCCAACAAATAACTCTGGGAGTTATTTTTAAGATGGAAGTTACTAGAAATGGGTTTGGATGGGATAACTCCAGTCCTGAGTAAGGCTCTCGGGCGGCTGCGGAGTGTAATTCAGGTCCTAGAGTCGGGGGGGGGGGCAGGCTGCTGCTGCCTGGGGACTTTGCTTTGGGCCGTTTCATCAACAAGTCTTGCCCCGAGGCCTGGCAGCAGTGGCCTCGCTAAGAGGAGTGTTGTGACCCAGGTTTTATGCCCCAGACGCTGGTGCAGCCACCCTGCAGAAAAGACGCCTTATTACTGATGCGGGTGAAACGTCCCTGGAGGATGAACGAGCAGCAGCAGAAGCGGCTCCTAGTTTCCGAGTGCCCGGGGTTTGGAGGGGCTGGGGGGCCACGGCTTAGTGCTCATCCTTCCTGCTACCCACTCTGCGCTGGGAGTCCCAAGCCCTGGCGCCACGCCGGCCCGGGGGTTCACATCCCGAGCACCTCCTCAGCCCGTAGGAAGTGATGACTGAGTAAATTACCTCAAATGCTCATGTTAGCGGTGACACATACTGACACAATGTGCCTCTCTGCGTGGGGGCACATGGGGGCAGGAGAAGGTGCGGGCTTCATTGTAGGGTCCTGATCAAAGGTGCCAGATAGTGTGGGCCGATGGGGAGCCGAGGTGGAGAAGATTTGGGGGGGTTGGTGCCTTTGGGGGGCGATGGTCAGGTTTGCCTGCTCCTTCCTCACCTGGCCCCCCAGGGGACGGGCCCATGTGGATCTTACTGGCCATGCTTGCCTGGGGGCCCAGCAGGTGCCCAGCAGGTGCCCGGTGGAATCGCTAAGCCACAGACGCCGAGCCCTTTCTCCTGCCCAGTCCCAGCACTGGTCACGGGCCAGACTCGCGGCTGGCCCACGCGGCTTGCACCCCTCTCTCCACAGGCGTCTCGGTACATGTGTGCAATGAGCGGCGCTACGGGTACATGAACGTGCCTGTGAAATCCCACCAGGGCCTGGAGGACGAGCAGGTCAACTTCATCCACCTGATTCTGGAGTCGCTAGGTGAGGCCCGGGACGGGGCGCCGTCTGCTGCCCCCGTCTCCCCAGGTGCCTGGACCTGACTGGCCAGTGAGTGAGCGTCGGTCCAACCCCTCCCCAATGCCTTCCCTGACCCAGGACAGTCCCTTTCCCCTCCGGGCCTCAGTTTCCCGGTCGCCACCAGGGAGACGGTGGATTCTGCGGCCTCCAGGGCCTCTCCTGTTGTTGCTCTGCAGAGGTCGCTCAGATACCGGGTCCCAAGCTGGCATGAGCCAGGAGTGACTTATAATTGGGGGTGCTTTCCTTTGCAGTCGATGGGCCCCCTATGTGGGCTTCGGCTCATGTGTCCCGGCCCCCAAAGAAGCTCAGCAAGATGGGGTTTGATGAGGTAAGCAGGACTGCAGGACTGTCGTCCGGAGCTGGGTGGGAGCTCCCCTCTGCTTGTGCACCCCAGCACCCACCCAACCCTCCCCCCAGGTCTTTGTCATCAGCCTGGCCCGCCGGCCTGACCGCCGAGATCGCATGCTGAGCTCTCTCTGGGAGATGGAGATCTCTGGGCGGGTGGTGGACGCCGTGGATGGCCGGTGAGGCTCCTCGGGTAGGGACCTGGGCAGCTGGAGGGAGCCCCTGAGAGCAGATGAATGAGGGGCCCCAGTTTTATGTCCCAAGAGCTGTCAAACCAGGCTGAGCAGTTCTGCCCGGGAGGGGGGTGCATGTCGTGGGCCTGGCCGGCTGGGGTTCCAGCTCTGCTGCTTACCAGCTGTGACCTCTGGTCAGTCTTCTGTCTCTCAGCTGGAGTGTAAGCAGCAAGTAGTCGAGCTCTCTTCCTGGGAGCTTAGTAGGGGGAGTTTAGCGGGCACCAGGCGGACTCTGGAGGTTAGGCGCTGTCATCGCATCTGAGGGTTATTCTCTAGCCTAGACTGGGCTCCCCGATGGGTGGGGTGGGAGCAGGCTAGTCCTGAGCCTGGGGACTCCCCATACCTGAGGCCTTACCTCTGCCCGCAGCCTTTTGCACCACAGGAGGTCCATCCTTGTGCCATACTGGGCCTGGGGTGCTTCTCCTTTGGGCCAGCTCCCTGGAGAACCACCTGTCCCCAGGTGACTGGCTCCCCAGGTCCTATCACTGATGGCTTCAGCCTCAGGAATCAGTTACCAGGTAGAGACCCTCAAAGCAGAGCCCTGGCCGAACCTCTGCCAGGCCCCCACATCCCCGACCCCATCTCCCTTAGGACACTCAACGGCAGTGTCCTGAGGCGCCGCGGTGTGGACCTGCTCCCGGGCTACCAGGACCCCTACTCGGGCCGCACGCTGACCAAGGGTGAGGTGGGCTGCTTCCTGAGCCACTACTCCGTCTGGGAGGAGGTGAGACCCCAGCCCTGGCTGCGGGCGGAGCCCCGAGGGGCTTCTCTGAGGTTGGGGGCCGAGAGCAGTGACTGGCAGAGAGAAGCTTCCCGCCGCCCTCCTGAGCCTCCTGCCTGTTCTGAGCAGAGCTCCTCCAGCCTGAGAAGAGGGGGACAGAAAAATCTGCCTGGGGCTCAGGGGCCCGAGGGACGGTGGGCGTAGATCCAGACAGAACCAAGCTTGGCACAGTGGGGAGGTGCAGGCCATTCCAGAGCATGCTGTGGGGTGAGTGGCCTGGCCACCCAGAGGCAGAAGAGCCTTCTCTGCAGAGAAGGGGGGGGGCGGAGGCACCTGCTGTAAGGCCCCTGCAGGGGGAGGGGGACTGGGACAGACGGGAGGGCGATAGGCGTGGCCTGTTGGGTGATCTGGGCGTGGCCTGTTGGTGGTGTGGGCGTGGCCTTCTGTGTGAGCTGGGCGTGGCCTGCTAGGGCAGGCCCAGGAAACTTCCTGAGGGGCTGGGACACTGTCAGGGGGGCCTTCAGGGGGCTTGCCCTCTGCTTTTTATTTTCTCCTGGAGCCAAAATTAGAAGGGAGTGAGCTCTGTGTGTGTTTGTTTTGTACTGTCTCTAAGCGCATGCAGGGATGACGCACATCTTCCCATTTACTTACTGATTTCGTGGTTTTCCCCATTCCAAGAGTAAAAAAGTACTTTTTCTTAGAAATGTTGGGGGCTAAGGCACCCCACTCCCCCCAGCCCCCCAGCCAGTTCAGAGGGCCAGCAGGTGCAGCTGATATGCTCGGCCCCCACGTCCTGGCGGCGTGTCCTGGGAAGAGCCGCCTCACCCTGAGTCTGCAGCTCCTCCTGCCTCGCGGCACCCGCGGGTCCCGCCTCCCCAGAGTCCCGGGAGAGAAGGGCTATGGCCCCTGGGACACGGCACGCTCAGTGAGTGTCGTGGGGGTGAGGATGGCCATCAGGCTTCTACTTGGAGAGCTTGATCCAGCCCTTGGGGGCCCAGCACGGCACCGGCGAGGTTTGGAACGGCTGAGTGGCACGGCCAGGGCCAAGCCTTTCACATGTAACCATGGGACCAGGGACAGGCTGAGGGGGTTCCGGGGTCTGGGTATCCCCAACCACCTTCTGTACCTCAGGTGGTCGCCCAGGGCCTGGCCCGGGTCGCTGTGTTTGAAGACGATGTGCGCTTTGAGAGCAACTTCCGGCGGCGGCTGGAGCAGCTGATGGAGGAGGTGGAGGACCAGAAGCTTCCATGGGACCTGATGTAGGCAACCTGAAGGGCGAGGGCGAGGGCCAGCCTCCGCCTGTGTGGAGCCCCGGCCAGTGAGCCCCAGCTCACCGCCAAGCCTGGACCCGCAGGGTGGGGCTGAAGGTGGGATCATGGACACCCCAGTACTTACATCGACTCCTGGGACCCTTGGTGTCACCTGCAGCTACCTCGGCCGGAAGCAGGTGAACCCTGAGGAGGAGGTGGCTGTGGAGGGGCTGCCACGCCTGGTGGTGGCCGGGTACTCCTACTGGACACTGGCCTACGTCCTGAGCCTGGCGGGTGCCCGCAAGCTGCTGGCCTCTCAGCCCTTGCGCCGGATGCTGCCTGTGGACGAGTTCCTGCCCATCATGTTTGACCAGCACCCCAAGTGAGCCCCTGGTGGAGTTGGGGAAGGCCACCTCAGCAGGTAGCAGGTCCCCTCAGTGGCAGGTGGAGGAGCGGGGGCTGCAGGCTGCTACACAGGGACTTGCTCCAGGTGACTCAGGAGTCACCAGCCTGGCCCGGTGTGAGATCCCTGCTGCCCAGAGTGGCTTCGAGGCCTGTGCGTCCCAGTCCCAGGCCACCTGGAAAGTGGGGATGAGAGTACCCCGCCGGCCATGTTTGCTGAGTGGGCTCGATGGAGAGGGCAGTGAGGTGCCTGGCAGCAGGTCGGTGTGTGGTCTGAGCCGGGGGTCCCCGAGGCTCCCCTGAACTATCTTCCTGCTTCACAGTGAGCAGTACAAGGCCCACTTCTGGCCTCGGGACCTGCGGGCCTTCTCGGCCCGGCCCCTGCTCGCTGCCCCCACCCACTATGCTGGAGACGCCGAGTGGCTCAGCGACACAGAGACATCCTCTCCCTGGGACGACGACAGCGGCCGCCTGGTCAGCTGGAGCGGCTCTCACAAGACCCTGCGTGACCCTCGCCTGGACCTGGCCGGCAGCAGCGGGCACAGCCTCCGCCCTCACCCCCGGGACGAGCTGTAGGTGAGCGCAGAGCTGGGGAGGCCCCAGCCCAGCCCACGGCCTCGGTTCCCACCCCCATGGCTGACTTCCTGGGTCTCCGCGCACCCTCCTCAGCCTGTCCGTCTCCCGATGGGCTCTGTCCCTGTGTCTGCATGCCTCTGTCCACCTCTAGCTCTCTCTGGCACCTCTGGCTCTCGTGTCTGCCTACTGGCCTCTCCACCCCACCCGCCGCTGTCTGTGTCTGTGTCCTGCCGCCGGATGCTAGTTCTCTCTGTCTCTCCCTCATGCCCCTCAGGCCGAGTTGTTGGCTCTAGAGGGATGCCCACAAACAGGCTTCCACTGCCGGAGCAGAGCTGGAGAATGTGGCCAGAAGCTGCCCCAGGAGCCTCAGACCCCGTGGTGACCTGGCTGCCACCTCAGGCGCGACCACTATGCCCTTTGTACCTGGGATACCTCGGGGGGGGGAAAGGTCAGAGCTGCCCGTTCCCCCAAGGAGAAGGATTCACAGGCCCTCTTACCCCACACGGCCTGACTCGGGGCCTGGGTGGAGGTGGGGGGAGGCTCCCAGCTTTCCTGGCCACACAGCAGGGCGCCGCCGCTGGGGCCCCTCCGCCCCTCCGCCTCAGCCTCTCCTGGACTTGGTGCTTGGATCTCCCCTGCCTGGGCCCCTCTCCTTGGGCCAGTGGGACGTGCAGGGAGGCGACAGGCCGCCTCTGGACCTGTGCTCCGCTCACAGCGTGCCTCAATAAAAGCTGCCAGGATTTGCACTTTATACAGTTTAGCTTGTTGTGGAGCATCTTTGCTGGTCACAGGTGCTGGGAGGGCGCATCCCAATCACCAGCTGAGAAGTTGGAAGAGACTGAGGGGGAGGCCAGTCCGGAGGAGTCAGAGCGATGTGGCATCGCCTTAGGTTAGTCCTGGGTACAGGAGGTGGGAAGACCAGCACTCAGGGGCTGGGTGCGGGTGAAGCGGGCAGGCCTAGAGCCCAGCCCCCCGCCCCCAACTCTCCCTCACCTTGCAGGTCAGGTCAGGGCTGGATGGAGCTCTCAGCCTTCTCATCTTCCCTGGGGCCCCTTTCCTGGTGAGCGAGGAAAGGCCCAGGGCGCCTCTGTGGCCCTGAGCTGCATGACCACCAGAGGGCGTGAGTCAGCAGCACCTGGGCGCCCTCTGTGTTTCGGGGTCCCATCAGGAAGGGGCCTGGAGCACCGGTGCTGCTGGGCTAGCTGGGCAGCTCTGTGTCCTCCGCCCTTCTGCCTGGAACAACAGGCCTCTGCCTTCCCCACCGCCTAGGATAGGCTCTGGCTTCTGAGGCCAGCAACAGTCTCCAGGGCCTGCACCCAGGCTCAGAGCAGGGGAGAGGCGACTCCTTGCCTGGCCCTGCCATTGAGGACAGTGAGGTGGCACCAGCATCTCCGGTTTCTTAGAGGCGCCCTGTCCCAGCCCCTCGAGTCAGTCAGGCAGCATCTGGGTCCTGGCACCAGCTGGATGCCCCCCGAGGCTGGCTCTCCGGAGGCTGTGTCCTGGCCTGATCCCAGGGCCTGGCATGGCTGAGGGAAGGCCTACGTGGTGGGACCAGTGCTCTTCCCTGGAAACGAATCTCAGTGATAGCAGACGAAGGGGTTATGAGATGACCAAAGTGAGGATTCTAACCTGGGAATCAGTCCAGTGGGCTCGACTCTGTGAGAGCTCTTCCAACAGACACGAGTTTCATTTAGTTTACATAGGCAGGACAGTGAGGCATAGACGTTAGAATGTAGTTTTTCTAAACAGGAGGTTTCGTATTCTAAGTTGTCCCGACCTAAAGATGCCCTGATGCTGTCTTGGAGCAGCTGGGCTTTTGTTTGCTTATTTTAAAATATTGATTTATGCACACAAGAACTGGGGTACATGGCAGAGGTGCAGGGGATGAGGGGGCTCACCAGAGACAGAGTGGGGAGCAGAACAGGCAGGTGGACTGAAATACACTGCTGAGGGGAGCCGCGGGCGAGACAGATCTGCTGTGCCCTGTGGGTCACTCCCTGATAGGGCATCAAACTTGTGCTGAAGTGGCTGCAGATATCTTCATAGTGCTGCTCTTTAACCCGTAGCACTACCATGGAGGCCCACAGGTGGTTTTCTAAATGATTTATTTATGCACACAAAAACTGGGGTGTAGTCCAGAGGTGCGGGGGTTGAGAGGATTCCCCAGAGACAGAGTGGGGGGAACAGGCAGATCTACCGAAAAACACTGCTGAGGGGAGCAGCGGGGAGACAGGGGAGGTCTGCTGTGCCATGTGGGTCACCTCCCTGCCGGGGATTGAACTCAGACCATAGTGGCTGGCGATAGCTTCATAGTGCTGAGAGTTAACCCCTGCGTTACCAGGGAGACCTAGCAATACAGGTTTAAATCTCTTCCTTTCTAAAGAAAGTAGAGTGAAGCCTGCCTGCTTGTCTATTGTTTAAATCTTTTCTGGCTTCTTGGCCCTCAGTGGGGGCAAAAAGACTGACTTTACCGACAGGCAGAGATGTTTCAAACTTTATTTGTGCAGGTGCCTCGTCCTCCTATCTGCCAGATCAAGATGTCACTTTCCAGAACATTTTATAGCATTTTTTGTTTTAAAGATTTGGGCCCTCCCTGGTGGCACAGTGGGTTAAAGCACAGCACTAAGACGCTGAAGCCACTGTAGCATGAATTCAATCCCCGCCCCAGAGGTGACCCACATGGCGCGGCAGACTTCTCCTGACCCGCCCGCTGCTCCCCTCAGCAGTGCACTTCATCAGTCTGTCTGCTCCCCACTCTGTCTCTGGTGAATCGTCTCACTGCCCCTGCACCTCTGGCCTGTACCCCAGCTCTGTATGCATAAATAAATAAATCTTTAAAGAAAGAAATTTACTCATGTATATAAGAACTGGGGTACAGCCCAGAGGTGCTGGGGTGGTGTGTGAGAGGATTCATCAGAGAGAGTGGGAGACCAGAGACAGATTGAAGTAAACTGCTGAGGGGAGCCATATGGGTCACCTCCCTGGATGGGAATCGAACTTGTGCTGCAGTGATTGACAATTAGCTTGACAGTGCTGAGACTTCCTTGTGCCACCAGAGTGACCCCCACTTCGGTTTTTACTCCAAGATCTCAGCGCCTCTGTAGGGGTTGAGGCGGAGAAATGACAGGATCCAACTTTTGTTTCCACCTGCCACCCTATCTACCTGCAGGAGTGACTTGTAGATGGGTCAGGGTTGGAAGAGCAGTTGGAGACTAACTTGTAATAGCTGGGGTGAGCCCCAGTGGTGCCCCGGACCAGGGTGTCTGCAGCAGGTTGGTAAGAAGCAGAGTCAGTTTGTTTTTTTTTTTAAAGATTTATTTTTTCGTACAGAACTGGGGTATAGGCCAGAGATGCGGAGGGTGAGAGGATTCACCAGAGACAGAGTGGGGAGCAGAACAGGCAGATCGACGAAGTACACTGCTGAGGGGAGCAGCGGGCGGGTCAGGAGAGGTCTGCCGCGCCCTGTGGTCACCTCCGGGGCAGGCGGGGATCGAACTCATGTGGAAGTGGCTTAAGCTTCTTTGTGCTGCGCCTTAACCCGCTGTGCCACCAGGGAGGGCCCAGCAGAGTCAGAGTTTTAAGAGGAAAGGGGCTTCCGGGGGCTCCTTCCCACAGCCGCCGCCCCTGCCCGCCCCCACCGCGTCATGGCTGTGGGCACTAGCCGCTGAGCCGTCTTCGTCTTCGGGCAGTCTGCACACTAGTTCCAAAGACGGCACACTCTGAGCCCCGGGGAGAATGGGCCTTCTCAGAAAGGCGCCTGCTGCGTCACCAGGCCGCCAGGCAGTGGCAGGGGGTAGGGACAGTGCAGAAGGCCGGTCAGAGCTGGGAGATGGGGCTCTGGGGCTCAGTGGGCCACCTCTACCCTTAATTCAGTTGTCCGTGAGCCAGGTCCTTCTCTCTGTAAAGCCTGTGTCTCCTCTGTGAAGTGAAGGCGTATGAGGAGGTGTGTCCTGGGAGGTTTCCCCTCCTGTCTGGGAAGTGTTATCCAGACTTCGAAAACCTGGTTAAAATACGCTCGCTGGGCCTCCACTGAGTTTTGGAGTCAGTGGTTCTGGGTAAGGTTGAGACACAGCAGGTCCGAAGTGGAGTCACTTGGGCTAAATTCCATGTTAGCAAACCAAGATTTCATACCCACCTGACTGTATTTTCAGCACCTCCCAGAAACGTCACCTTCCACTAGGCAGGCTGGAATCCCCCGTCAGCACTAACAAGGTGGCCTGAGACCCCTCCTGTCTCTCAAAGGTAACCCTGTGAGACAATTCCCTCGCCCCCCTTATTCTGCCTTCCAGCTGGCTGAAGGCAGAATTGGACTTCCTTCCAGCTGGCTGAATGGGATGTCGTCGGACTCGCGAATCATTTAAGAAAACCAGTTAGCGCTTCCCAGGCCCGAGAATCTGCATTTCCAACAATTCCCTGGTGATGTTGATTTGATGCTGCTGTGCCAGCCTCCCCCTGCCACAGATTTGGGGGCCCATGGAGCCAAGTGCCTCAGCTGAGCCCTGGGTCCATCCAGCCTCAGAGACACGGGGCGCTGAGGCGCTGCACAGAGGGCGCAGGAAGAACCACGTCTTCCCAGGCCGGCCAGGGTTTCTTGCTCAGCTCCACCCAGGACTGTCTCTTAGGTCACCTGCAAGAAAAAGCCTGCGCCACCTGGAGCCTGGCTTCCGTCTGGCTTCCGTCTCCCCGAGGTTGCATCAGGTCCCAGGGGCTGCTCCTGGATAGAGACACCTGGTAATCGGGCCCTTGGGCAAATGACGAGACTGGAGCCGGGAACTAGGGCTGGGGTGGGGGTGCCCTTCTGCAGGGCTGTCCCCCACCCCTGGGGCCAACTGCAACTCCTTCCCTTGCGGCTATTTCTAAGGAGGGGTTCCTGTTCGTTGTGGAAATTCAGAAACACAGGAGGAAAATAAAACTGGCTGGAGAGAGTCTACTGATTAAAAACAATTTTGGGGGCTCTCCCTGGTTGCTCAAGGGGTTAAAGCACCACACTGTGACGCTCTCAGAAGTCACTGCGGCACAAGTTTGATCCCCGGCCAGGGAGTGACTCACATGGCATGGCAGACCTCTCCTGTCTCCCGCTGCTCCCCTCAGCAGTGTATTTCAATCGATCTGCCTGTTCTGCTCCCCACTCTGTCTCTGGTGAATCCTCTCACCCATCATACCTCTGGCCTGTACCCCGGTTCTGTAAGCATAAATAAATAAATCTTAAAAAAAAATTTTTTTTTAAAATCTCCTCTTAAGCCGGCTAGTGGCTTTATTTTTTCAAAAAATTTTTAAAAAGATTTATTTATTGATGCATACAAGAACTGGGGTGCAGGCCAGAGACGCGGGGGTTGAGAGGATTCCTCAGAGACAGAGTGGGGAGCAGAACAGGCAGATCAACTGAAACACACTGCTGAGGGGAGCAGCCAGGAGATAGATCTGCTGTGCCCTGTGGGTCCAATAGCTTAACCCCTGAGGTGCTGAGACTTAACTCCTGAGCCCCCAAGGAGGCCCCCTGTTTTATTTTTCCCTGGGCTACAGCCTGTGGGGCCTCTTCTCTCCTTTTTTCTCCCACCCCTTGGGAGGGCAAAGAAGGGTCAGCTCACCAAAAAAAGGGGTACTTGGGGGGTTTCTCTTCAAGGCCTAAATATTTGTGGGCCTACTTGATTGTACCTTTAAAATGCCTTCTCAGCTGGGGTACTGCTGGGTCAAAGCGGATGCTGGGGTTTAAGGTGTTGGCTAGGTAACCCCCAGTCACTCCATCTTGAA